AATTCTTAGTGCAATTATGATTCATGTAAGATATGGTTGATGTTTGAAGTTCATGTCATGGTGTTTATGGGGGTTTGGGTTTTGTTTTTAAATTGTTGACCTTCGTGAGTAAAAGCTTTTTTGTTTGTTATTATTATTAATATGATTTTAACGTAAATATTTCAGAACCTGTAGAACAGGTATGAAGATTGAATGAATTGGAATTAGCATCAAGGTCAGAAAGGAAGTACAGGTCAATTTATCTATGCATTTTTTCTCTCTATTTTTGTTTAGAAAAGTTAGTTAATTCATCAATTTGTTTTGTCCTTACATAACCGAAGTGCAGAGTAAATATAGCATTTCCCCTATGAGCTTCTTCAAATAGGATAATAGTCCTTGAAGTGTCTTAGTGAAGGAATGTCACATTGGTCATGATTAAAATGCAAAATAGAGTGGAAAAGAGTGGAATGAGCATGGAACTGAGTCTACAGGCTTGAAGAGAGCACTCTAAATTATACAGAAATGCAAGAAAATGAGGAATTTCAGTGAAATCTCAGAGAGAAAAGGTTTAAATTATGCAAAATAAGAGAGAAAAACCAAGGGAAATGAAGGAAAATTAAGATAACAAAATAAGCAGAAAAATACTACGAAGATGTGCATTTGTCTGTATTTATAGACTATTAGTAGCATATTCACTCAGAAAGTTGTCATTTGGAATTTTTGGCAGCAGATAAGTCCTATCCTGAAACCTGTTTTGTAAGATGTTGCCTCTATGTACATTGAGATCAAGTTATTTATTTGATTTTGAACAAAAGTTTTTTTCAGAAAACCTACATTGTATCATGAATGATATGAGCCTAACAATTCCAGGTCCTCTCTATCTCTGATTCTCCATTTGATATGTGATATAAAATAAAGAGAAAGAGAGTAGTGCGTTTAATGCCCAGAAATGATATAAGTGAATTTGCTCAGTTGACGATGAATTTCTAGGCTGCTTGATTGAATTCGGAACATAGTCATTTTTCAAGCATATGATCTTACTATGTTTGAGTATCTCTCTTCTTTTTAACAACTGCATACCTAGGCCTTTATACTGCATTATCTTTATTATACTGTTTTATCTTTAATTGTTGATTTATTAAGTTGAATGGAAAACCTGAATTGGATTTTATCAATATAAAAGTTGTTGGTTAGCAAGAAACAATGCTAGTAAAGCAGGAAATTGACAGGCTAAATTGTATAAAAATGTTTCAAAATCTGGTTTCAAAATATCTTTCATTTTGTGGCTGGAAACAGGCCTTTTGGGCATAGTTTTCAAAAGGACACATCTCGTTTTGGAGAACAGTCTCCTGGGCTAATAATTTTTTATGAAAAACATAGAAATAACACCCAAATTAAATTATGAATATTCAAAAGAGGACATTTAAATCGACAAGATGTTAATATATCAAAATTGTTCGAAGCAGGCGTAACGTGCAGTAGACCGATTCAATAAAAGACAAGTCTCAATTTGGAGAACAAAGTTCATCAGTGTACTGCGCTAATAATATTTTTATGAAAAATATAGAAATATCACCCAAATTGAATTATGGATATTCAAAAGACATTTAAATCTAATATTAAAATTGTCTAAAAAGGGGTCTATTTTGGAAAATGAGCGTAGGTTGGGCAATCAACCAAAATATAATTGACTGAGATTATTCTAAGATTCAAGAGCTACAGAAGTGGAATAAAAGGAAATTACGATGTAGAGCCCCTCCGTAATCTTGCTTCAGGCTTGTCTTCACCTTTAGTAGATAAGTCACTTTATTGATTGAATGGCTATAACATCAGAGATGATTTAACAGGCAAAACCAAAACAGAATAAAGATTGAAGGTTGCCATTTTTTTGTTGAACAAAGATTTCAGCTGCAGCCATTGTTAATTTCATTACATTGCTAAATAATTGCCAAATAACAAACATAAACATACATAGGATCAAAGTTTTGTTATGCTGAGGATCTAAAAAATCAAAGCATCTTAACAGCACCCCTCCGTATATACGACAACTAATATGACTACAGAGGACATCAATTTTTAAGCCAAATTATTTGATTTTTCGCTCCCTTATAATTGCTCAAAAATATACTATTACTGTAGGTATAAAATCTTTGAATTCCAAAGGCTAAATTGAATTACGGTTTTCTCATATATCTCCAATTGGCTCTAATTGCTCTTAATTCTCATGTATCAGTACAAGCCAAGTAATTGTCCAACTTAATTGAATCTTTACATGAAGCCCTGGATCAATGTCCTTGGGGATCCACTTGTCAACTCATCTGATCATGAAAAAACTCCAAAGGGTCATGTTTTGAAATGTAAATTTGAAATGAAACAAGAGGAATTTGCAAGGAATTAAGAAAGTAGACAAGGAGTACATGCTCCAAATTGTATAGAAATACAAGAAAATCAAACTTCATACAAATTCTAGAGAGAAGTAGAGTGAAATAGACACAATTAGACCTGCTTTTTTACATTGGGAGATCGACAAAATTAAATCAAGAGCTTAAGAAATAGAAAATGACCAAATTGTAAGAACAAGTAATCTGAATGATTAATTTGGACCTATGCACATCAGGGGTGGACCTGGGAAAGTTTTGGGCTCGTATTTAGAAATTTTGGGCCCTTAATATGAAACTCGGGCCCAATTTCTTAAAAATAAGCTCAAAATTAAAAATGATGCCCTGTAGCAATTTGTTATCTTAAATGCCCAATTCATGTGGGTCTGCTGTTGCCCTTCGTTTTTTCTCATTTATTCCAATTAGTTTTCCATCAAGGCTTTCAATTTGGAAAAAATAAATGTCTCATGAATATGGTGTTTCTTTATATATAAAAGTATTTGATTCTAGGACTTTTCTATTTGGTGCTGACAAGTCATAAGATCGTCTTTTCATGTGGCACCTATATATTTCAAGCTGTTTGATTACAAGCTTTATTCGCATTAATCCCTTTCTGTTCCACTGTGTTTTAGACAAGAACACGACCCTATGCGTGTTTTATTGCTGGACTTGCTCTTTAGATTGGCAGATCAATCTGTCGGAGAATAACTTCAAACAACAGATTCTTACAAAGAGCCCTTCATTATTGAGGCTATAGATACAAAAGGCATAATCATCATTTATAACCTTCTTTTCACCAAACAAATACAGTAATTAACTTGAAAGAAATGTTTCATTTCTTGCTTTTCATATTCTGTTGTATGTTTCTTTGTGGCTTGCTCTATTGAACCATTGTGGCTTGCTCTATTGAACCATTGTATGTTTGCTAAGTTGTTTTTTTTCCTGTCCCAATTTTACCTTTTTGGTACGATAATGCTAATATTTTATCATTTTGGCATATATTTTATTGTACATAGACGGTGAGGTAGCCAGGAAGAAAAACGCTACGAGGTGAAACATATTTCCAAACCTTGCCTCGCTTGCCTAGCAATATAAGAACATAATGATAGTCCTTACATAATGAGATTTGTATGATTGAATAAAAAATCAATGATTTAAGATTAAAAATCAATAAATCAATTTACAACACATCATTGCTAGAGGAATATTTCTCAAAGGATGTAAAAAAAGCGACAAGCCAAATAGCAAACATAAACACAGTTATGCTCATTGGCTTGTACTCACAATTTGAACTGTAACATTCAACCAATCAGAGTAAGTATACCAAGGCTGGAAAATGGTCAGAGTAAAGAGTGTAGGATGCATCTTATAAAGGGTTATGTTGATGTATGCAAAATGACAAGTAAATCTCATTAAGTATGCCTGGTACCTGTATTCAGGTATGTCAAGGTATGTACAACATATTCTATTTAAACGGAAATACCAACCACTTTCTCTTCTAATTATTTAATCAGTTCATCCAATGTTTAGTTCATGAAATTCTTCTTTTTATTTTAGTGATTGGTGAGTTCACACTTCTTTGGTTTATAGAAGTTAAAATTGTCTACATTGTTTTTCCAATTTATCTGGTGTATATTAATTGTAATTTTGTCTTTTATAAATTCTCATCAATATTCAATTCATCTCTTCAAATGTATTTCATTCAGTTATCGACTTCGGAGTTTGTCCCCACTACCTCGAGAAAAGAGTAAAATATTTTCTAAGAATGGAAAGTGAAAAAGGACTCTGAGGGAATTCTAGCTCACATATTCAGATCTCAGTTTACACAGTGAAATTGTTGAGACATATCTAGTGAATAAGCATCAGCAATTCCTCAATTTGATAGAACTTTACATAATTGCCATGTCAACCTACAGATAACAAACCTTGCCAAAACATTTTCTCTTGTCATGCATTTTTGCTTATTTTCTCTCTAAAATTTGAATGAACTACCTTATTTTCTGGCATTTTTGTACAATTTAAAGTGTTCACTACAAGGTTGTTAACTTTATTCCTTGCCTTTTCCACTCTTTTCCTCTCTATTTGGGATTTTAAAACATAACTCCTGTGATATTTTTTCTTGTGTTAATGTTCAGGTTGAAGATAAGTGAAGAAACCCTGATGACATAACAGTGTAACAAGTTTTCAGTTGTAGCATTGGGAATATAAAGCCTTTCATGCTTCACTTCTCTTGAGTAATCAAGCTTTCATTTCTCTGAAATTAGTTTTTTGTAAAAACTTGAACGACATTAAGCTTTTTCAAAGGTGCTCGCATTGGATTTTTGCATCAGGAGTTTTTATTAAGTAACAAAAGCAAATCTTTCCAATAGAAGATTTTAAATCTTATAGTAAACAGGAATGAAATTGATTTTTCATAAAATGCTGAAAAATGATATATAGTTGCATACTCAGGAGCAGAGAAATTATGTTAGATTATGGAAGTATTGTGCTCTATTTTCCTCATGGGATGTAAATATAAGCCATGTAGATTTAAGCCTTGCAAGGGTGATAGGCTATCTCAGCTACATGCTGCAAGATAAGTCAATCTGAGAGCATGGGAAGCTATTAACAGCAAAGATTGCATACTTTCATAAATGTGCACAACTACAAACGCTAAGGAACTTATCCTAAAACGACTCAATCTAAATCTTCAAAAAGAAATATCTAAAATTATAGAGAAATTATGCGCAGCTATTATGAGTTAAGTGTGGATATGAGGATTAATGGAGGGAGGTTTTGTACAGGATGTCAGTGTTATTAACAAAATAACAAAAAACATTTATGTTTGTAATTGCAAATAGAAGTTGCATAGAATGGAATCAACAGGTTTCGTAAACAAGGATCCGATTAATTCAGAATGCAATATGAATTCAACAATTAAAAATAGCACTAAGGCCAATATGGAATACTCAAAAGCACCAAAGGATGCAAGTGTCAAAATAAAAGTTACGGATGGTGGTGTCAAAGATGTTAAAGGTAAAGAAGATGTTAAGGTCATTGCTAGCAAAACTATAAAATCAAATACTAATTCTGTAAAATTAAATGAAAATGACTTAAAACCAGAAAACAATAGGCCTATAAGACTGCAGAAAGAGGTGAACATGACTAAACCAATCATATGGGTCGCAATGGAAGATGCAAATGTGAAGAATAAAGCAGTCAAGACCACAAAACCTGAAACTAAAGTCACCAAGCCAAATGACAAAGTCACCAAATCTGATGTTGGAGTGTCCAAACAAGCAATTAAGATCATAAAACCAGATGTCAATGCCACTAAACCAGACCCTGATGTGGTCCATAAAGTTGTTATTCCCCAAGTTAATATCATTAAACCGGATTCCAATGGTTCCAAACAAATAAGTCCAAGAAGAACCAATCCTGAGGTAAAAATTACAGCACCAGAGGAGGGGACTTCAGAAGAATCAGTGGACTCTGGGGAGGGAGAATCAGTCTCAACAACCCAGGAGACCATTACGCATAAATGGATCCGTAGTTTTAGCCACCATGTAAAGGGAATGAGACGCAATGCCCTGGATATGATAGTTGGGACATACAGGGAGAAACAGCTCTTAGGTAAGACCAGGATATAGATGCTTTTTTAACACACTTATTAGTAAAAGCACTCTTGTTGATTTCCATGGGGTTCTAGAAGGGTTCTTTGGATACGGATATGAAAATGGCCATGGGGACATTTTAAAGCTCTCAGTAATGTCAAACCTGTATTCTTTACTTTTTAAACACTAAAACATTCTTGTTAGTCAGCATGGAATAAGTTTATATAAAAGTGTAGTTCATTAAACCATTTGGTGGAGAGGCACCCCAAACACCAGTTTCCAAATTCTGTTGATTTGCATATTATGCATTTACTGGCCTTGGTGTACATGCATGGGCGTAGCGCCCGGTATGCTGGGTACGCGCAAGCGTACCAGATGGTTGCAAATTCGCTCCAAATAGAACCAAATTTTCCTGGGGGAGGACCCCCAAACCCCCATGAATGATCGTTTTTGATTCACTCAACTCTTGTTCCTGTGGTGGTGGCGTACTACTTAGAAAAATAGCGCTACGCCCATGACATGTAGTATTTGCATATAGAGTAGTTTGTCATCTTCATGATTTCACGATTGAATAATGGAAGGGATAAAGTTTGATCTCTCATCAATCTCGATGTTCAAGACGTAAAATATATATTTCCATAAAATAACAACAATGCACTCTCTAACAATACCATTTTTAAGAACTGGACACTACATGCTACAAGAGAGAGCCTTTTCTATTTACTTGTAGCTTTTTATCATAACTTTGGTGGTATGATTTGCTTGGCAGTGCATTTGCATCTTCTGTAGGCTTACATGAGCTTATGGGACACTTTATATTCAAGTTGGTGGTTTATTTGTTCAATTAATATATGGCCTCAGAAGTTCATGTACAGCAGTTAACTGTGGAGTGTTCTCTTGTGTAATATAAACTGCTTTGTTGAGTGGTTGATGTGAGATCTCAATTGTTTGAGTAAAATATTTATCATATGTTATGTGTGAGGAATAATCATAGTGTTCTCCTTAATTAGGCCTCTTGAAAACTTCATTGGATTTACTCAAGTATTTTGCCAAAACATTTCTGGTCTTGCCTACTCCCCTTACTTTCTGTAATAAAGCATTTCATTTTCTTTCCTTTTATTTAACGATGAATAGGGACATGTTATAAAGATGATGAAATAGATGGCAGTGGTCGTTTTGATTGGGCTGGAGTGCCATAACTTTTTAAAGAAAGTATTGACTACATAAATATTTACTTTATTTCTTGATGAGCTCAATTTTATTCCCTCCAAAAACCTAAAATGATCTTCGCAATTTTGCTACTAGTGTGCTCTCAGAATTGTGGCAAATCAGCTTCTAATTCATCAGTATCATCTTCTGCAGATTTCACCTAAAAATAGTGAATATAGAAAACATCAATGTCAGTTTTAAGTTTGAATTCAAATGTGTTTTACTTTTATAGAAAAATGTTTACAATATAGAGGCTATTAGTGGACCTATTGTCAGTGACAAGATCTTCATAATATTTACTTTACCTTTTGATAAATGTTAAAAACATTAAAAGGCACTGAGCATTTCTAAAAAATAAACCACATCAACAAAGTCTATGAATGTCAAATCCATAGATAAATCAATATAACATGTCAACTTATAATGGGGAAATGACAGCACAAATGGCAACATTTAAAATGCAAACAATAGTAACCCTTTTAATCCAAAAGGTCTCCCTATAGGCCTATACTAATACAACATTTCAACATGTATTCGTGGAAAATAACAAGGCAAAGGCATTGTTAGAAATAACAAATAGATGCAGTCTATAGACCACCCCTTGTTCAAAATAAAAACCATCATGGAGGTTGTCATGATACATATGAGTGAATAAATATTAGCAACTGTGTCAGGAATTCTAAACAAAACTACAAAACAGTAGATTTTTTATTCTTTGTTTATATGTTTTAGGGTTTCAGTGATTGTTTTTGGTGTTATCCAAGTTATAATTATAACTTGTTATATTAATCATTTTATTTGTTGAAAACTGAATTTAAAACATCCGATGTTATCAGAGACATTCTTCAAGTCCAATTTGAGCAAACTTATTTCAAGAATAACTGATATTTTTTGTATAAAAGGTAGTGCAATTTGGGATATGTAAACACCTCTCAAATATGAACACCTTATGATGTGAACACTTTAGTGCTATGGGAACACCTTTCTGTAATCAGCTCTCATTGCATTAATGTAAGCACTTCTCTGATACCAGCAGGGCTCAGTTAGACACAAGACAGGCTTTACTGTGTAAAACATAGAAAACCTAGGAAACATAAACATAAGAGGTCATTTTACATAATTTTATTCCAATTATTTTGATTTGTAAGCTGATACTTTCTTGTGTTATTTTCAATGCTCCTAGCTGAGTAAGTGGAAAGACATTCTGTCAGATGCTTTCTAACTAAATGTGTTAAAGGCTTGTGTAACTTCAATTATTAAAGGCTCATGTTTAACTTATTTAATATTCATTTGATAAAAGATGTTTTGAATAATTGTTGATTAGTTAGTTGGGATCACCATGAACTTTATTATTCTATGTTAGTCAAAGTTGTTCCTAATGGAGGTGTACAGTAAACATAGGTTACCTCTGAATGGGTGAGCAGTTGTATTATGAAAATCACATTGCTATGAAACTGAAAGTGTATCAAAAGCTTAAATATGTATATCACATCCAAGATAACAATTATCAGAAATTGTCACATTCCCGCCTACATATGAACGTGTAAACTGTTGTTATCATGATATCCTGGGACATTATCACACGGCTTAAGTCTGACATGTCGTTACAATCATCCATAATCATCCATAGATTACACAGATTGTAATTTTGATCATGGATATTCATTTCATCTCTAAAACTTACAAGAAACTTCTTATAAACTTCTCTAAATGTTTAGAAAATTTGACTCATTTTTTACCATGTTGAAATAGACCATGGCCATACCATGGTATACCGTGGTATGACCATGGTATACCATGGTATATGGCCATGAAATGCAATGAAATACCATGGTAATACCATGGCCGATCATGATCGTTAAATGGCACCATTGCATTTCATGGTTAACAGCGCGTTTTTAACATGGAGTTTTCCATTGAAAAAATACTGCCGTTTCGCAGTATTTCATGGTCAGAAACCATCAAATGCAATGATATCATGGTCAAGTTCTCGACCATGATATCATTGCATTTGATGGTTTCTTGACCATGATATCATTGCATTTGATGGTTTCTGACCATGAAATACTGCGAAACGGCAGTATTTTTTCAATGGGAAACTCCATGTTAAAAAAGCGCTCCTGACCATGAAATGCAATGGTGCCATTTAACGATCATGATATACCATGGTATACCATGGTCAATTAACATGTAATTTTGTATCTAAAAAATACCACCGTTTCACAGTATTTCATGGTCAAATACCATCAAATGCAGTGATATCATGGTCTAGACATTCAACCATGATATGCAATGGAGCCATCTAATTATCATGATCTACCATGGTAAACCATGGTCACTCTACTTAAAATTTTACATTTAAAAATACTGCTATTTTGCAGTATTTCATGGTTGCAAACCATCAAATGCAATGAAGTACAGTCAAGATGTTTAGTCGAAGACTGGAGGTTGGACTTACAAAATATTGAGTTGATCTCCTACTTTACCGACAACAGTCAAAAAAAAGTAAAGCATATTTGATCAACAAAAAATTTTTGTTTCAAGGGTTATTAACTTAATTATTCATAATAGAAATTAATTTATTAAATAAAGGAACAAAAGTATATTAAGTTGTGATTTTGATGAATATCAGAATCACTAATTATAATAATTTGGTTATCTAATTAACATTTATTAATAAAGATATTTCATGTAAAAAATACTTTTTGAACATGGCCTTTCATTGTATTTCACTGCATTGCAAGAAAGACCATTGCATTTCATTGCATATCATGATCAATCATTGTATTTCATTGCATTTCATGGTTAAATGTGGTATTTCATTGCATTTCATGACCCATTTCAACTCTGACCAATTCTGACTTCAACATTGTACTAAAGTTCTTTTGGCAATGAAATACCATGGTATAACCATGGTATTTGATGGTCAGGTTTGACAATGAAATGCTATGAAATACAATCAACCACGAAATACAATGATATGCCATGATAAATGATAGTTATGATTATTGCAATGAAATACCATGGTATGACCATTGTAATTGATGGTCAGGTTTGACAATAAAATGCCATGAAATACCACCAACCATGAAATGCAATGATAAAACCATGATAAATGAGAGTTATGATTTTGGCAATGAAATGACATTGTATGACCATGGTAATTGATTGTCACACGGTACAATGAAATGCCATGAAATGTCATCAACCATGATATACCATGGTAATACCATGGTAAATGATGGTGAGGTACATAACAATAAAATATCATGGTATGACCATTGCATTTGACTGTCACATCATACAATGAAATACCATCAACCATGATATACTATGGTAATACCATGGTAAATGATGGTCAGGAACGTGGCAATGAAATACCATGGTATGACCATGGTATTTGATTGTCACATCTTATAATGAAATGTCATCAACCATGATATACCATGGTAAATTATGGTCAGGAACATGGCATTGAAATACCATGGTATTTGATTGTCACACCTTACAATGAAATGCCATGAAATGCAATCAACCATGATATACCATGGTAATACCATGGTAAATGATGGTCAGGAACATGGCAATGAAATACCATGATAATACCATGGTATTTGATGGTTAACTTTGAACATGAAATACCATGAAACATGGTATAACATGATATACCATGATATACCATGGTATACCATGGTCAAAAATTGACCAAAAAACATCATTGCCACCATGGTCAGAGTTGATGGTAATTTCATTGCCGATCATGATAGACCATGGTAAACCATGGTATACCATGGTATCATGGTTTACGTTTAAACATGGTATGTCACCACTACAAGTCGAAACTTGGTATAGTCTCTTTTTTGGTATAGTTACCTTTTTGTGGATGGTGTTCAGCAGTTGTTATTTTGTGCTTGGTGTCTGTAACAAGTGGTAGGTGG